GGTCTGTTTTCCGCCTGTTGAGTGATTTCTGCCTCATTCACTTTTTTTTTTTAAGTTTTTGAGCCACACCCAGCTACTCCGTGCTCAGGGCTGGCTCCTGGCTCTGTGCTCAGGAATCACTCCTGGCAGTGCTGGGGGAAGTGGAGAGGGGACACGTGGGGTGCTGGGGATCGAATCCAGGTTGGCCACCTGCAGTACTACCTTCCCGGTCATTCAGCCACTGGCCCGTCAGACACACGAAAAGACAGAGGTCTCTTCCGCCCCGGTTTTTCTGACCCTGTCCTTACCCACGTCACCCAGGTGCACGACTTACCCACATTCTTGCAGAACCCTCGGAGCCCAGCCAAACCGATTGTAGTCTTGGAAACGAGACCACGTTTACATTTCACTGTTCTAAGAAAGGTGAGGGTGGGAGGAGGCATGCTGCTATTTCTATAAATCCCTGCCTGGGAAAATATTATTAACTGGGGCATGTCTGAGGGAACATTGGTGTTTAAGTGAGAGGTTTTACTTAATTTATGAGTTTCTAATTAGTATTAAGTTGAATTTTTTTTTAAGGAGAAAAAAAAGGCCAAGGAGTTTTCAGTTGGTGTAATGCAAACTGTCACTTGTAAGAACGGTTTATTTTTTTTCGCTTTGCTGCTAAAACTGTAAGATGCTTCACAAGAATGCTGCTATTTTTATTAAATAGTAGGTTGAAATGTTGGGTGCTTAAGATTTGTAATTGAGCGCTTCTCCAGAGGTGGGGTGGGGGGCGGAGCTGGCTTTGCGAGTGCCGAGAGCTGGCTTTGGCCCATGCTGCTGAAGACTTTTTTTTTTTTAAGACTTCTTTTTTCTGGTTTGCAATTCTATCAGTCATGGATTCTCAGGGACCTAACTCTGAAACCATCCCCATCCCCCCGTGTACCCGTGCCCAGATCGCTTGTGTGTGTCAGGTTCCCCTGTTCCGTTCATTGTCTTTGGATGTTGTGGATGAGGGTGCTTGAGCGACTGCTGACGGTGAGAAATGCAGTTTCCTCTGGGCTGAGCTTGAGGTGGAAACGGTTCTCCATTCGGAGACGTTCTGCCCTCCTTGGAAATCAGACCGGAGGGGGCGGGAGCAGTTGCCACTGTCTGCTGGGACTGGCCTCCACCACAGACGGGCAGGGCACTTGCCTGGCACGCAGCTGGCCCGGCTTCGGTCCCTGACACCCTGTACGGTCCCCCGATCCCGCCAGGGGTAAGACCTGAATGTGGGCCCACCTCTAGCCTGCAAAGAATTTAACTTACAATATCAAACTGAATAGATGGGTGTTCTTCTTTTGATTTTGTATTTTGGCCCACACCCAGCGGTGCTCAGGGCTTCCTCCCGATTCTGTACTCACAGGTCACTCCCGGTGAGCTTGGGGACCGTACGGGGTGCCAGGGATGGAACCGGGTCAGTGGCATCAAGGCCACGTGCCCTCCCCTCTGGCACATTAATTCCCCTGGACGTCTGCGCAGGTTCAGGGGACCAGTCACAGGGTTCAGGTTCAGAGGTGTCGGCCCTGCATGTATTTCTGTGGCCCACCTCAAGGTGCCTCCAGGGTTGTGTGTGTGTGTGTGTGTGTGTGTGTGTGTGAGAAGTGGATCACATGCCTGGATTTGCTTCCCCGCACCATAGCCCCACCCCAGCGCGTGCTCACAGGGTGGTTAAAAAAAAAATGTCCCTTTTCCTTTCGACAGATTGAAACTGCACGGTCATGTGACCAGGCAGGTGATGCGATCCGGCAGGATACTGGAAACCCAAGCCGCGGGGTGGCCAGCTTGGTTTTGAGCCGAACGCGGGGCTGTGGCAGCGCGTTCCCACTCGGGGTTCCAGCTGACAGAAGCCCGGCAGCCCTCCTCAGGGGCGGGGGTGGCGGTGTGTCTCCGGTGGGAGTCTCTGCGCTCTGCGCTGACTCAGACCTTAGTCACCCCACGGTCCCCCGCCACTGGTCCTGCTGCAGGCTCCGCGTTCTGCTTCCCTGTTCTCTGCGCCAGCTGCTCGCCTTTTCCCCAGGCCCCTGTGCGTGGGGCTGCCCATGCTGGGAGTGTCACGCTCTCCGGCAGAAACCCCCGTGGCGGTGTGGGCGTGCCCTGGGGAGACGCCGTGAAACCCTGCCTTTAGAGCTTGGCGTGGGGGCAGATAGCACCGGGGTTAGGACGCCAGCCTGGGTTTGGTTTCACAACACTAGGGGTCCCCGGGCATCACCCCGTGGCCCCAGCCTTGCATGTCTGACACCCTGCTTGGCTGACAGTCACTGATGGGGAGACGGCCCGCCCCGCGGTGAGGCCTCTAAACCAACGGTTTGCAGAGGCCGGACTCGGTCACCTGCTCTGGGGCTGCGCCCTGGAGTGCCCAGGAGTGTCATTTCCAGGGGCTTTGGCTCCTGACTAGATTGGCCTCTGGCCAACGGGGGATGGGCAAGGGCTGGACCATGCCCCCAGAGGGCATCTCCTCAAGGCTCTGCCCTCTACGCTTATTCACCAAGCCGGAGATCCTGAGCGGTAGAAATGCTGCATGGTGCGGCCCAAGGAATGCGGCTCACTCGGAACTGGGGGAAGCCCCCTCTGGGAGAGCCGCCTCTCCACAGGCTCATCCGCCAGCACCCAGGCCCTGTGAGCACCTGATCTCGCCAGGCCCCTCGTCGAGGGTGGGCACAGACCTTGCGCCTTGGAGGACACTTTGAAGTGCGCCTTCCCTAGTCGAAGTGGGGTCCAGATTTCCATTTACGGCTACAAAACCGTTACAGGTTTTCCAAAAGGTACTAAAAAGCCGCATTTTTTTTTTCTCCTTAAACCAAGTTGAAATTTTCTGTCCTTGGAACGCCCAGCTCTTCTCCCCGCCCTGAAATTAGTAAAAGGGAATTTTTTTTTATTAGGGATGAATTATTAAGTCAGTTGGAGGCCCCGGGCTGAGAGAGCAGTTGCTGATGTTTGTAGGCAGGCGCGAAAGTGCTGCCTTGACTGGGCGTAGATCACGGGGAGGGCCTGAGTGCCCGCCCGGGCGTCCCCCCCACACGCACACGCACACACACACACACACACACACACACACACACCCGCCCCCAGCTCCACGGCCACGCCGAAGTGCTGACGCGGCAGCGAGGTCCCATTTGGAACCTGTTAGATCGGGAAGCAGATTGATGGATGTGCTCCCGTAATGGACGGTGGCCCGGTGCGTGCCGGAGGAAATGGAGAGCACTTTGAATAAGAGCATTTTTCAAAGCGAAACCGCCCACCCGTCACGGCAGAGAAGGGGTCTGTGGGACGCCGACCGCGCCGGGCCCGTCTGCTGAGCCCGTTCTGAGACGCGGCCCGCAGAGGCTTCTCAGGTCTCGACGCGCCTCCTCGAGAGCCTTTCCTGACCACAAGGATTAATCTCTCTGAACTCCGAAGTGAGTCCTGCCCGCCTCTCAGCTGCCTGGCGCGGCTCCAGCCGCTCTGCTCCTTCCTCCTGCGGGGGGCCGGCAGACGGGGGCTGTGGCTGTGGCTCCCGGCCCGGCCGCCTCTTCCTGTTGCTTTAACCTCGGGGGTTTGCGAGTCTCTGCGGGGGAAGGCGGTGCTGACCCTCCCCCGGCCAGGATCAAGCCTCTCACCCTGTGGGCTGCCCTCTGCGGCTGACCCCGGAGGGAGCGTCCAGCCAGGCGGGGCTCCCGCAGCCAGCGACACGCAGAGCGGGATCTTGGTGCTGGTGGACAGCTGCCTGCCAGGGGTCACCCGTGGCCAGGGCTAGGTTTGGTTCGTTTTTGCAGGCGTGAGAGGGGCCACACCTGACGGGGCTCAGGGGCTCCTCGAGGCCCAGGGGTTGCTCCTGATGGGGCCCGGGGGGCTGATTCTTAACACCTGCGGCTGGAGAAGGCCGTTGCTTCGGACAGCACCGCCCGCCAAGGGCCGCTTCCCGTCTGCAGCCGTCAAGCCTGTCTCTCCGCCTGCTGCCTCTCAGCCCCTGCTCCTCTTCCCTTTGGCTCTGGCTTCCGCCCGGATGCCTTTGGCGGGGGTCGTGCCGGAAGCCACAGGGCAGAGGGGCTGGACCCAGCAGTCCGGGAAGCCAGGTGGCACCAGCGAAGAGCCGGGGTCCTGCCGTGCCAGGCACCGGCAGAGCTGCGTGGTGCGGCGATTAACTTGGTGCTTAACAGCTTTCTACTCGGGGCTGGTGTTTGCCTTGCACGCAGCTGACCCGGGTTCAATCCCCAGCATCCCATATGTGGTCCTCTTAGCGCTGTGGGGGGCGGGGGAGTGACCCCTGAGCACCAGGTTGCACCAAAACAAAAACAAAAGCTCTTTCGGTGATAAGAGATGGGACTCCCCTCTCTCCTTCCCCCTGCAGCCCTCCCCTACGGACTCTGTCTGAAGTCAGACCCCTGAGTGCCTGCCCTGCTCCTCCCCCCCAGTCCACAGTCCTCCTTGCACAGTGCTCATGGCTCCCCGCCAGCACCGTGTCCCGCACCTCCCTGCCCTGGCAGGTGCCTCCCCCACTGGGGATCCGGGCACAGCCCCGAGCATGGCCTCCTGGCCTCAACCAGTGACAGAGGACAGCCCCAAGGGAGGGGCCGCTACCGTGTTTGTCCCCTTGTGTGTCTACAGCGGTCACCGTGGTGCTTTGCAGTGGGTCTGACTGCGGGGTCAGGTCGTCCTGCTGTGGGTGGGTGGGTGGGGGGCCGTGTGCTAGGCTGGGCACGTGTGCCAGCCACCGGGTGCAAGGACAGCGGTGCCCGTGGCAGCCGGAGTCTGGGTTCTGGCTCACAGTACCCAGGTGGGGTCTGTTTCCTGGTATCACGGGGAATAGTGGGTTTTGCTCGTCTCTGACGGAGCTACTCCCAGCTCTGTGCTCGGGGTGGGGGTGGGGGTGTACCCAGTCCAGGTGGAGCAGGGGCTCGAACCCGGGGCGCCCGTGGATGAGCGAAGTTCATGCTCCAGCCCTTCCTCGCGCCCTCTGCCAGCCCACCCGGGTCCCGGCCCCTCGGGACTAACCCGGCCGTGTTCTCCCTGGGCTGCAGGCGCTGGCGGCCAATGCCGGGACGGGCTTCGCCGTGGCCGAGCCCCAGATCGCGATGCTCTGCGGGAAGCTGAACATGCACGTGAACATCCAGACCGGCAAGTGGGAGCCGGACCCCTCGGGCACCAAGAGCTGCTTCGGCACCAAAGAGGAGGTGCTCCAGTACTGCCAGGAGGTGAGGCCGCGGCCGGGGACGGGCACCCGTGTCCCCACCGGGGCGAGGGCTGAGGTGTCGCTTCATCAGTCTGTCGATGGTGGCTCTGCGGTTACGTGTACAGGGCGTTGCAGGCCAGGGCCGAGGTCCCGGTCCTTTCTGCACTGCCCAGCCAGCTGGTCAGGTGTCTGAGGCCGGCATGGCGCTGGGGCGAGTGCCCTGGCTGCCCGCTGTCCTCAGACACTGGCCCCTGACATGTTCTTCAAAATAGAAGCGAGGGGCCGGAGAGGGCGCGCGGGACAAGACTCTGGCCTTGCCCGTGGTTGACCTGGGTCTGATCCCTGGCACCTTGTAGGGTGCTCCTAGTCCTGTCCAGGAGTGACCCCTGAGCATTGCCTGGTGTTCACCTAAAAAAACAAAATCCCAAAACAACACAAGTCAAAGATGATGCATAAGACGAGGCCAGCAGGCCGGACAGAACCAGCTGTCTTTCTTCCTGGGGTTTGGCAGAATTGGGACAGCAGGTAGCACCTTCGTTTCTTGGGGTCAGTGGACAGTGGCTGGGAAGTGCACCCTGACTTGTGGTGCAGCCTGGCCTGTTCTGACCAAGGGCCCAGCAAGTGGGCGTGTGGGGGTCATTTCCTCCCTCACTGATGCCCCCTGTGGGTCTGTCCTTCCCTCGCAGATGTACCCTGAGCTGCAGATCACAAACGTGATGGAAGCCAACCAGGCGGTCACTGTGGAGAACTGGTGTCGCCGGGACCGGAAGCAGTGCCTGAGCCACATGGTGATCCCCTTCAAGTGTCTGGGTGAGTGACCGGCTGGGGTGCAGGTTCACGGTGAGAGCCGGGGGTGTGGGGGACCGTGGGGTCACTTAGATGGGCTGCCACTCACACTCACTGGACCCCAGAGATCCTTGCTCCGGCCTGGCGCTGTCCTTGGGCCCAGTGCTGACCACTGCGTGTCTGCCCTGCGTCGTGTCCCCCGCCCCGGTCGGTCAGGAGGCTGGGCCTGCCGGCCTGAGCGAGTGCCTGCTCCCAGCCGCCTGCCCGGGGTGTTGTGTGGTTTGGACCATACCCAGTGGTCTTCAGGGGTCGCTCCTGGCAGGGGACCTTACGGGGTGCCGGGGACTGAACTCAAGTCAGCTGCGTGCAGGACAGATGCCCTGCCCTCCATCCTACCTCTCTGGTCCCCTCAACTTTGATTTCGTCGTCTCCGTGCTTTTCTCATTACGGACATGGGCACATGCTGCCCGGCACCACCCAGCAGTCACGGGGATCGGAGCTGGCCGAGGCGCCGCATCTTGATCCCGCCAGGGTCCCCTCTGCGTCTCGTCTCTGCAGCCCTCCCTTGCTGGCCTGCCGAGGGCGTCGACAGCTGCTTCCTCTACAGCACAGGCTGGTGGCCGAGCCCCCCGGGGCCGCGGGGACTGGCACAGGCATGTGTTTGCCATGTCAGCCCCGCTGGGGTGTCTGTTGTGGGCAGCTCTGAGGGCGTCTTCTCTCCCGCGCTGCACACAGACTCGGCCACCAGCTCCGACACAGGAGCTGCCCCCATGGGTGCTGGCACCTTTGCCTCACCCAGCCTTTCCCCGAGAGCCTCCTGACTTTCTGCTGTCACGCGATGACGCTCCAGGGCTAGGGAGACAGCACAGAGGGCTCTTGCCTTGCACGCGGCCGACACGGGTTCGATCCCTGGCACCCTCTCATGGTCTCCCAGGCCCTGCCGGAAGTGACGGCTGAGTGCAGAGCCCGGAGGAAGGCCTGAGCGCTGCTGGGTGTGGCCCCCCACCCCCAAATAGCAAAAGACAACCTAGACTTATCTTGTACCATCCCAGGCTCCTGTGGCAGGATGTGGGGTTTCTCCCCCAGAGTCCCAGTTTTGTGCGGTGGTGAACGGGGTTCAGATCGCAGGGTCTGGGCTGGGGGCGTGTTTGCGCCTGGCCCCGCCAGGCGTGTGCTGAGTCGGGAGTGTGTGAACCGCGGCAGGTCCTGTTTGGTCCCCCTTCTCTCGTGAGGACTCCGCCCCCGTAACTGAGACAGCTCACCCGTCCCCAAACCAGCCGTTTAATGGTCTGCTCCGGACATTCGCAGAGTGACGCGCTGGCGCAGGCCTTGAAACACAGGCGATGTTCTAAAAATTGCTGCAGTGAAGAGACCGTCCTGTGCCAGCGCTCTTGGACGGTCTGGAGGCATCGCGCTTAGAAAGACGGCAGTGGTCGGGGCTGGAGAGATAGTTCAGAGGGTCAGGCACTTGCCTGTCTGCTGCCAGCGTCAGAGGCTCCACAGGGGGTTCCTTGGGCGCTGCCAGGGGCTGCCCCTGCGCTCAGCCCCCGCTAACCCAGCCCCTGCCCCAGTGACCGGCTTTGCTTCTGCTGATGCCCTCGAAAGGGTCCTGCCGCCCGAGGGCTGGGAGTGGGGACCAGGTATGGCCCGTTTCCATGGCCTGCCTCTTCTCTGGAGCAGCAGTTCCCAGCGGGGCTTCCCCAAGGATATTCCAAGGGGCCAGAAGTGACGACTGGGTCAATGAAGGCAAGGAGCACTGTTCCGGGGAGCACCCCAGGCGGGGCTCAGGGAACCACGTAGGGCGCTGGGGGTTGAACCTGGTGCCAGTGTCAAGGCCGGCGTCTCTTCAGCCCAGGGCCAGTCATTTTTGTGAGGTAGAAGACGAGGGATCTCAGTCGGCCCACTTGGCGGCCACTGGAGAATGACTTTTAGTGGCTTGTGTCCAGCTACAGCCCAGGGTCACCCCTTCTGTGGCACTCAGAGCTGTCCTTTTCTGAGTCATGCACAGGCACTGTCCACGCTACTCCGTGATGTAGAGAGGGACTGTGGGGTGCGCAGGGGCAGTCTCCCCTCAGCCTCAGCAGTTGCCTCCCTTTTCCCTCAATAGACAGGAGGGAGGGGGGGAGGGAGGGAGGGAAGGAAGGAAGGAAGGAAGGAAGGAAGGAAGGAAGGAAGGAAGAGAAGAACAGGAACAGAGGGGGTGTGGGGGGAGGGAGGAGAAGGAAGGAAGGAAGAGGAGGGAGGGGAAGAGGGGAGGGAGGAAGAGGGACGAAGGAAGGAAGGGAGGGAGGGAGGGAAAGAAGAGAGGAAGGGAGGGAGGGAGGGACGGACGGACGGTGGGAAGGAAGGAGAAGAAGAAGAGAGGAAAGGAGGGAGGGAGGAAGGGACGAAGGAAGGAAGGAGGGAGGGAGGGAGGGAGGGAGGGAGGAAAGAAGGAAGGAAGAAGGAAAGGAGGGAGGTAGGAAGGAAGGGAAGGAGGGAGGGAAGGAATGGGTAAGTGAATTGGTGGTTAGTAGAATGCAAGACGATGGCTGAATGGACGGGTGGGCGGCGAGAGGACGGACACGTGGAAGGATGGCTGGGTGGTGCGTGGATGTGAATGGGGGAGGGAGAGGGGGTGGAGTGAGGATGAGGATGACGAGTGCGCAGAGCAGGGACGAGGCAGGGCTGCTGGGGTCTGGAGGAAGGAGTTAGTCATCGGCACTTATATATAGACTGGTGCCTGCTCCCAAGAAGAGACTTTTGCAAACTCACGGCTGTTTGGTTATTTTGGGCCAGAGGTTCCAACTGGGAAGGATCCTGGGGGGAGGGGAGGTGCCCGGTGACCGTCGTCCCCCTCAGAGCTGCGGGGTCACCCCAGCTCCTGCGCCTGGGTGTCCTGGAGCGACACGCGGTCCCTGGCCAGGGGCAGATCTACCTCTGAGGGGGCAGCGTGGACTCCAGGCCAAGGCTGGCCCTGCCCCTGACAGTGCTCGCCCCCTGGAACTGCTTTCTGAAGTAGCGGCTTCACTGAAGGGCGTGGCGCGTCGGGTGTAGGAGAGCACGCAGTGTGGCCAGCATCCTCCCTCTCAGTTGATGGATCGATTTTGTATCTTGGGCCCCACCAGCAGCACTCAGGGGGTCCTCCTGGCTCTGCACTCAGGGGGCGACCCTCTGGGATGCCAGGGATGGAGCCTGGGTGCATGCGCAGGGCAGATGCCCTCCCGCCGTGCTCTCACTCCGTGCCCTCCCCTCTCGGCCCCAAGAGCAGGGAGACTGTCTGCGTCCAGACCATTCCGCACCGAGTCTGGCCCTGAATTTGCTGTTTTGCTGTTTCTGAGTCCTGCTTATGTGGCCTGCTCACCTGCGTGAGCTAAGGGGTAGGGAGGGCCTGGAAGGGGCTGCTGAGGGCTGGGGCACCCCCAGCTCCCATCCCCGGGACTGCTGGTCCCCCACTCCAGAGCTGCCTGTTCTCCTGGGCAGTCCCCAAGCATGATTTGTTGCAGCAGGGCTTGTCAGAGAGTGGGATTGCGGGACATGTGTCATCAGAGCCGAGGTGGGCAGATCAGGGAGAGACGAGGCGGGGAATAGGGTCCAAGTGAGAGTGTGGGAACCGCAGCTGTGAGTGTGTGAATGTGTGTATGTATGAGTACATAAGTGCTTGTGTGTGTGTGTGTGTGTGTGTGCGCGCGCGTGAGTCTGTATGTGAGAGTGTGAGTGTGTGTGTGAGAGTCTGAGAGTGTGAGTATGTGTGTGAGTTTGTATGTGAGAGAGGGTGTGTGTGTGTGTCTCTGTGTCTCTGTGTGTCTGTGTGTCTCTGTCTGTGCATGCCAACAGGGCGGGGCCTGCCTCTCCCCATCTCGCATCACGTGCTCTGGCATCTTGCAGTGAAGTGTAAGGCTTGGGTCTAGCTGGGCCCCGTGGCCACTGGACTCACTGTCTCCAGCTGCCCTTTTGCATTTTGGGGGGTGCCCACCTGGAGTGCTAGGACCATCCAGTGCGGGGATTGGACCGCGGCCTGCGTGGGGGAGAAGCCTGAGGTCAGGCCCCGTCAGCTGCCCTTGTCCCCTCCCAGGGCACAGCTCGGGGCGCGTCCTGCCCCTTCAGGCCCAGTCCACCTGAGCGCGGCGTGCGGGGGTGCGTCTGACACTGCGGCTCTTTTGCAGTGGGTGAGTTTGTGAGCGACGTGCTGCTGGTGCCAGAGAAGTGTCAGTTCTTCCACAAGAAGCGGATGGAGGTGTGCGAGAACCACCAGCAGTGGCACACTGTGGTCAAGGAGGTGAGCGGGGCCAGGGCCGGGCCTGGTGGGGCCCTCGTGCCGGGACCACAGCACTTAGCGGCACGCAGCCGCCTGGATCCTCTCTCCCCGGCAGCCCGTGAGCCATCCCCTGAGCACTGCCCGGAGTCAGCCCTGAGCACAGAGACAGGAATCACCCGGAGCACTGCCAGCTGTGCCCCTCAAATCACCCCACCCTCCCCTAAGAAAGCCCGAAAGGGAAGGAAAGCACGTTAGCCTTGCAGAGCTGCCGGTCACCTGTGCCCTGAAAACAGAAAAGGGGGTGGGGGGTGCCTGTGCTGGGCCCCCACACCTGCCGTCTTCAGCTGGATGGGGGGAGAGGGGTTGGCACCTGAATTACTAGCACGGGCACCGTTGACCCGAGGTGACAGAGACGGAAGAAGCCCTCCCCGTCCCCACGCCTCAGCTGTGTCTGTCTGGGTTCGTGGCTTTGGGTCCAGAGACCCAAAGTTTCTCCTTCCAGCGAAGCTTCTCAGAGCCCCGCCCCGGGCCCTGGGGGACCCCGCTCGGGACTGACCGGCCGTGGGGCTGGCTGTGATGCTGGCTGTGGTTCCTGCAGGCCTGCCTGACCCAGGGGATGACCCTGTACAGCTACGGCATGCTGCTGCCCTGCGGAGTGGACCAGTTCCACGGCACCGAGTTCGTGTGCTGCCCCCAGGCCAAGGTCATGGCCTCCGCCGTGGTGAAGGAGACCGAGGAGGACGAGGATGATGAGGATGAAGATGACGAGGAGGAGGAGGAGGAAGAGGAGGACTATGACCTTTACAAAAGGTGCCCCTTGGGGCCAGAGCGGATAGCACAGTGGGTAGGGTGTCTGCCTTCCACACAGCCGACCCGGGATCGATCCCCGGCATCCCATATGGTCCCCCCGAGCACTGCCAGGAGTAATTCCTGAGTGCAGAGCCAGGAGTATCAACCCCTGAGTATTGCTGTAACCCCAAAAGCAAAGAAAAAGAAAGGTGCCCCTTGTCCTGGAGGTGGGGGGCTCACATTCCCAGCCCAGCCGACCCTGGAGCACCGTTGCTGGGCTGAGGCCTTATGTGGTCGGCAGCTGAGCTGATTCCCTGCCTCTGGGCCCGAGTCGCAGAGCAGGGTGGGTGAGTGCTGCAGCCCGCGAGTCTGCTCTCAACCTTCCTCTTTCTCGTGATACTTTTGGGTGCGGCTGTGGCCTCCAGTGAGTTTCCTACAGAAGTGGATTTGGAAGACTTCACCGAAGCGGCTGTGGAGGAGGACGATGACGATGAGGAGGAGGAGGAGGAGGAGGAGGAAGAAGAGGTGGAGGAGGACGGGGAGGAGGAGGAGGTGGAGGACCGTGAGTACTACTACGACAGCTATAAGGGAGACGACTACAAGGAGGAGCCCACGGAGCCCAGCCCGGTCCCGGCCAAGGAGGCGGCTCACGACGTCCAAGGTAGGTGTGAGCCAGCGGCCGCCCAGGGTGGCGGGCACTCGCAGCTGAGAGCACGCGGGCATCGCTGGGTGAATGAGACGCGATGGTGCCCCCCGGATGGGTTCTTCTGCGTCCCCCCAAGGCCCCCACTGCCCCATTTCCACGGCTGCAGGACGGACTTCATACCCTGGTTCTTCTCTGACCCCGGAGAGGTTTGTTGCAGGAGGGTGGGGCTCGGGGGCCGCCGTCCTTCCTGCCACGGTCCTCGCCACAGTGATGCGGTGCCAGGGGCCCTCTCTGCACAGCCCCTCAGCGACAGGGTTCCCGCGGCCAGTCAGGCCTGACGGGTTGGGCCCCGCGGCGTGGGCCGCGTGCACGCGGATCCTAAAGCCTGTGTGTGGAAGTTCCCGGCCAGAGCCAGGCGCACTGGCCCGTGGTGGGTCGCCCCGCCACCCACCCCCGTCAGACGGCGCAGCCCTGCACACGTGCCCGGCTCAGCCCACCCCCACCCTGGGGCTCCAGGAAGGACCAGATAAAACCACCCGATCAGTAGCCCTGGACTGGCGAGAGCCCCGCGGGGAGACGGCGCCAGCCGAGCGATCGAGGAGCGGCGCAAAGGGCCGGGGGTCGTGCCCCGCTCCCGGCCTGCATCCACGGCGAAGCCCCCGAAGCCGCGGGCCCGGCACCCCGCTGACCTCTGCCCGTTTCCACACAGCTGTCTGCTCCCAGGAGGCCATGACGGGGCCCTGCCGGGCCGTGATGCCTCGCTGGTACTTCGACCTCGCCCAGGGCAAGTGCGTGCGCTTTATTTATGGCGGCTGCGGAGGCAACAGGAACAATTTTGAGTCTGAGGACTCGTGTGTGGCTGTGTGTAAGACCATGAGTAAGTCCTGCCAGGGCGCCGCGCCCACCGCGTCCCGTCCAGCGTGCCCCGTGCCCGCCGTCTCCTCGTGGCTGCGTCTCCGGGGGCCGCCCCGCCCCGCCGCGGGCTCGGCCCTCCGTCCACTGTGGCTCTCTGTGGGCTTCGCTTCGCGGGCGTGTCCCGTGCGTGTGCGTGTGGTCACGTGCGCCTGCGTGTGCGGTGTGCACACGCGTGTGGGTGTTTGTGCCCCCGTGGTTCGTGCTGTTGGGTGGGGTTGGGTAGCTTCTGTTTCGCCGTGTCCTGTGCCGTGTGTGTGCGCACACACGCGTGTATGTATGTATGTGTGTGTGTGTGTGTGTGTGTGTTCGTGGCTCATGTACTGTTGTGTGGGGTTGGGTGGTGGCCGGCCATGCCCGGGGCTGTCTGGCGCCAGGAGGGGACACTGCCCACGAGTCCAGCTCTGGGCTCGCTCTCTGCTTGTCTGACCAGGCCGGTCAACAGCACCCGCCCTCCAGAGAACCGTCCAGGGGTCGCTCCTAGGACGGCTGATGTGGACACGCAGGGGAGATGGAGGGGTGTCAGCTGGGCTTCCGGTCGCCTGTCTCACAGCGACTGGGGGGGTGGTGGGCCTTGAGGCCCCCTGTGGTGAGGGAACTGAGTGATCTGGTGCTGCGCCTCGCTCAGACAGTGGGGAACGGCCCTGCGGGTCTCCTGCTCGCCAGGCGTCGGTTGGGCGTTCGCCCCTGAGTTGGATCTTCGACTCGGTTCCGAGCTGCTGCCCCGGAGTTTGGTCTTAGACTCGGTTCCGAGTCGCTGCTCTTCCCTGGCGTTTGGCTGGGCCTGGTGCTCTTCCGTCCCCCTTCCTGCTTCCTCTCTGCCCCCCCAGCCAGGTGACCTCCCCGGTCTCAGGATGCCACACTTCCGGCCTCCCCACAGCTGTGCCGCAGAGGGGCCTGTTGACATTCTCATTTGATGAGCTTGAAAGGGGCGGGAGGGGGGCGGGCGGGCAGAAATCAGTCTTTAGGGAGCTTCGGTGGCAGAAACTTTTTTTAAATACAGGAAAGAAATGGAGATTGAAATTACTTTTATTTCCTGCTTTGTAAAACGCTGCGCTGGGAGCGGAGCCATAGTATAGCGGGAGGGCGCTTGCCTGGCGCACAGCCAACCGGGGTTTGGTCCCAGCACCCCGAGCCCCATTGGGAGTGATTCCTGAGCACTGCCAGGCGTCATCCCTGAGCACTGCTGGGTGTGGCCCAGAAGCCAGAAAAATAAATTAACGGGCAGCATTGCCCTTTCTGGCTGGAGCCCAAGGATCCCTGTGGGCTGTGTGGAGCTGGGGTTCACGGTCCCCCACCAAGATGTTCACGGGGTCCTAGCCGGGGCCTCTTGAAAGCTGTGTAGCCTCACTGTCCCAGAGGTCACGAGTGTCCCCCTCAGAGGCCAAGGTTGGTGCCCGCACTATTTCCTGGCCCGGCCTTTCCCTGCGAGCCTACTGCGAGTGTGTCGTGATGACTGGGGTCACTTGGCTTGTGCCCCGCGTGGTGCCCGGGGCCTCGGCACTGTTTCAGGCTGGCCCCTGTCTGGGGACATGCGCGGAGATGTGACCTGGTCTTCTGGGCTGAGGTGCCCGATAGGGGTCTTGGGCTCCCCGTGTGGCTCTGATGGTCCGTCTTGAAGCAGCCAGTCACTCGGACCCCTCCTGGGCCCACAACATTGCGAGAGCTTTGGCCTCAGGAGAGGCTGATGGAGGAAATGGGCCCCTCCGGCCTCCTGTCTGAGATGGTCCACGGAGAGGACGGGGCTTCTTGGGGCCTGTCTCTGGATGGTCAGTCCTCGTCAGGCAGAGCCCCTGAGCTTGGTCCCTGTGCTGTGGCCGCTGTGATCACAGGCGTCACGACACTAAAACTCGAACGTCATGCGGCCGTGCAATAGCACAGCAGGGAGGGCGCTTGCCGGGCACGCGGCCAACCCAGGTTCGATCCGAGGCATCCCAGATGGTCCCCCGAGCATCATCAGGAGTGGTCCCTAAGCATCACTGAGTGTGACCTATAAAAAAGAAACAGACTAGATCACTGTGGCAGGGCGGGGGGGCGGGGGGGGGGGGACCTGGGTTCCCACCTTCCAGCCTAGGAGTAGCTGGTCAGTGCCTTCCCCAGAGGGGAACTCGGATCTGGTCACAGCCCTGGGCTCAGCCGCGAGGGAGCTGTTTATTCTGAGCACAGCTCGAGGAGTGACCCAAGTTGGGGGCATTTCCTGCCCCTGCTGCCTCTGGCCACGCCGCCGGGCATAGGGAGCGGTGAGCAAGAGGGCCCTGGAGTCGCCCGCGCCCGGAGCAGCCTGGACAGCCCTGCAGGCCCCGAGCCCCAGGCTGGCCCTCACGGATCCGCCGCCCCTGTGTTGCAGTGCCCCCCACCCCGCTGCCCACCAGCGACGTGGACGTGTACTTCGAGACGTCCGCCGACGACAACGAGCACGCGCGCTTCCAGAAGGCCAAGGAGCAGCTGGAGATCCGCCACCGCCACCGCATGGACCGGGTGAGGCCACAGCCTGGCTGCCGCCCGCCCGCCCAACCGCCCGCAGCCCAGGGCATGCGGCTCACGTCCCCCCCTTAGACTAGCTTCGCGGTTGCCCTGGGGGCCAGAGAGGTAGTCCTGCAGCGGGGGACGTCAGCCCTCGGCACCCAGTGTGGTTCCCCGAGCTCTGCCAGGACTCAGGATTCCTGAGTCCAGAGACAAGGGAAGCTCCGAGCATTGCTGGACTGCCCAAAACCAAAAAAGAAAAAATAAATTCCCGTTTTCAGTGTTAGAGGAGGAAGCCAAGGCGGCTGTTCAAATTGGGCGTCGTTAACGCTTCCTTCTAACAAGGTGACTGTGGAAGTAGCAGTGACAGGCTGTTGCAGGGCGAAGCTGTGCTTTAGGTCTGAGTAACCGTTCCGGGGGACGGCCAGTGCTGGGTGGGGTGGAACTGTGTCCCCCTCCCCGCCCCCAGCTTCCTGGGCGAGCAAAGTCAGTGCAGACGCTGGACAGTGCTGGGCCGAGGCCTGTGTAGGCCCCTCACACCTCCCTGTGGGCTGACATGTTGGAGAAGGCACGTCTTTGTTTCTCCACATCACTTCGAGAGGGGTGTGTGTGTGTGTGTGTGTGTGTGTGTGTGTGTGTGTGTAAGAGAGTGATTTTGTGTGACTGAGAGTTTGTGTGTAGGATTGTGCTCTGTGAGTTCTCTCGAGGGAGCCTGTGTATATACGAGTGTTGGTCGGAGGGTTGAGGAGGGTCCCCTGGGGGGGGGGGGGGCGACCTTCTGAGGCAGCAGCTCAGGGACCAGCTACACTTGTGGGGTTCCTGGGGGTGGTTTCCTCCCTGGGCTCGGAGCCTGAAAGGATTATTGGGGAGCCGGGTCGGGGTGTTTTCTCCAGCTGCTGTCTGCTCACGGTGGCCCCGACTTGCTTCTAGGTGAAGAAGGAGTGGGAAGAGGCTGAGCTGCAGGCCAAGAACCTCCCCAAGGCCGAGAGACAGACCCTCATCCAGGTACGGGGTACGGGGTGTGTCTGAGGCCCGACCCGGCCAGACTGGGGGTCCAGAGGCAGAGTCGAGCCCGCCTTGCAGCTGAGCGGCTACAGGGGCTTGCTAGTGACCTCCTGACAAATGGCTCGGCCACAGGAGAGGACTCGGCCAAGCCCCTCGGTGCCAGGGCCCCGGGGTGGGGGGTGTGTGGCGGGGGTGCAGCTCAGTGCAGCCTCCACACCTGGGGACTGGGGCTGGTTTCTCAGCCGTGCGAGGTTGTTTGCTTTTGGCGGGGGCCACACCCAGTTGTGCTCAGGGGCCCCTCCTGGAGTGGCTTGGGGGCTCCTGTGGGGTCCGCTGTGTTCAAGGCAAGCGCCCTGCCCGCTGGGCACCTTCCCTCTGCCCTCAGCCACACCTGCTTCCTGGGGCCTCTGTGCACCTCTGCACATTCCCGCCCTTCTGGGGGCCCAGGGGTTGGGGATCTGCTGCCAGGAGAGGTGGGTGCACCTTTGAGAAGCCAGGCTTTGGACTGGTCTGTGCACTACCCCCCCCCACACACACACAGTAACACACACACACACACACACACACACACACACACACACACACGGCCTCGGACTGTGGCTTATCCCCACTGTTCGGGACAGCGACGCTGGAGGAAGACCGGGGCGGGCAGGTGGACGCGGGCGCAGGCCTCACCGTGCGGGCAGCGGGGCGTGAGCACCAGCAGGCCCGCGGGCTCACCCCCGACCCCTGCCCCGCACCAGCACTTCCAGGCCATGGTGACAGCGCTGGAGAAGGAGGCGGCCAGCGAGGAGCAGCAGCTGGTGGAGACGCACCTGGCCCGCGTGGAGGCCATGCTCAACGACCGACGTGGCATGGCGCTGGAGAGCTACCTGGCGGCCCTGCAGTCCGACCCGCCGCGGGTGAGACCGTGCAGCCGGGAGAAGCGGCAGCAGGGCCCCTGTGGGCTCTGCCAGCCGCCCCCCACCCCAGCTCCCCAGCCCTGGGCCACCTCACGGGAGGCCAGAGCTGGCAGGGGAGGGTGTGGCGACTCCGTCGCAGGGACAAAGGCTTCTAAGCCAGTTTCTTTACTTAGTTTTGGTTTGGGGCCACACCTGGTGGTGCTCCGGGGTTACTCCTGGCTCTGCACTCGGGAATCACTCCTGGCGGTGCTCAGGGACCCATTTGGGATGCTGGGATCCAACTAGGGCTGGCCACAGGCGAGGCAAACACCCTCCCCCCTGTATGGTCGCTCTAACCTTGAAACAGTTTTATCCTAAATAAGATCGGGACGGCCGCGCGACATCTTATCAGGACATCTTTTATGACATCTTATGATCTCATTCCTACTTTGGACAAACTTGCAGGCTATCGAATGTAGCCTGCCCACAGGGCAGAGTCTGGCAAACTCCCCGTGGCGTACCAAATATGCCAAATACCAGTAACAATGATGGGTCTCATTCTCCTAAAGAGCCGTGAATATAATCTCAGGGCTAGGATGAAAGAGACGTTACTGGGGCCTGCTCGAGGCAATCGACGAAGATCAGGAAGGAAAGGGCAAACTTAGGAACTTTTTCCTTTTGTGCAGATGGCCTTAGATTTCGAACACTCCAAGAGCTGGAAAAGTACTGAAAAGGAGGTTGTTTGTCTGCTTCCTCTTTCTCGGGGCCCAGGGGCTGCTCCCTGTGATTCCCGGCCAAGCAGGTGGAATGGTTTTGTGCTCAGCCAGCAGTCCTGGGGTGTCTGTGCAGTCCTGAGGAGCACTCCTGGGGTCCACACATGTCAAACATCTGGCCCTGACCCCACTGTGCTGTCTCCCCAGCTCTCTGTATGTTTCTTTGTTTGATTGTTTTTCTTTTTCGGTCACACCTGGCAATGCTCAGGGGATGTTTCTGGCTTTGCATTCAGGATTCACTCCTGGTGGCATTCAGGAGACCATATGGGATGCCGGAGATCGAACCCGGGTCAGCCGTGTTCAAGGCAAAAGCACTTCCCACTGTTTCTCTGGCGCCAGTCTTCGTGTTTTCTTAAGCAAGCGAATTTTTTTTTTTCTGGGTAACACAGGCCATAGCCAACTCATAATTAAGGTGTCAGGGCTCTTTAAACTCCGGCAAGAGGAAGGCTGCAGGAGTCCAAGATCCTTGAAAATGCTGGTTTGGCTTGGAAGGTGGTTTTTGGTTCTTAGGAAGGATAACTTCCTGCAACTCTGTGAGCAGAAAGACTCTTGTTTTTTGCATTTTTGGTTTTGGGGCCACCCACAGCAATGCTCAGGATTACTCCTGGCTCTGCACTCAGGAATCACTCTGGCAGTGCTCAGGGAATCACATGGGATGTCAGGGATCAAACCCAGGCCAGCCGCGTGCAAGGCAAGTGCCCTCCCCTCTGTACCCTTTCTCTGGCCCGCAGGAAGCTTTTAAAAACTCTGCTGAAGGGTCACAGAGACCATCCGGGTGTAAGACACCTGCGTGCACACTGCCCACCCAGGATCGGTCTCCAGCCCGCAATTGGCCCTCCTGGCACCGTCAGGGAGGAATCCTGAGCAACCCCTGAGCCAGACTGAGCCTTTTTTTTTTTTCTTTCTTTTTGGGTCACACCCGGCGATGCACAGGGGTTACTCCTGGCTCATGCACTCAGAAATCACTCCTGGCGGTGCTCGGGGGACCATATGGGATGCTGGGAATCGAACCCGGGTTGGCCACGTGCAAGGCAAACGCCCTACCCGCTGTGCTATTGCTCCAGCCCCCAGACTGAGCCTTGAGCACTGCTAATGTGGCCCCAAACCAAAATAATAATAATAATAATAATAGTGGGACTGGAGCGATTGTACAGGGGAGGTCTTTTCGGCGCCCAAAAACTGGGGAAAAGAAAATAATAAAAAACTGCTAATGCCTCGCCGAGCTCTTTGTTTCTTGGAGAGCTTCCCAAGCTTTGTTTTCCCGCTCAGGCCAAGGCCTCTCGTCCGGGGGTCTTAAGGTCACTGTCCTCTCTCCACTGCAGCCGCACCGCATCCTCCAGGCCCTGCGGCGCTACGTTCGTGCCGAGAACAAAGACCGCCTGCACACCATCCGGCACTACCAGCACGTGTTGGCCGTGGACCCGGAGAAGGCGGCCCAGATGAAGCCTCAGGTACCCGGACTTGCCCGCAGGGTGGGCGCTGCTCACAGCTGCACTTGGATCCAGTCCTCTGGGGGCCACAGGGATGGGGCAGGGCTGTATGCCGCCCACCCGCCTGGTTCAAGCCCAGCACCGCACCACCCCGTGTGGTCCTGTGGGGAACCACTTGCGGCCCCAGAACAAAGCACGAGAATGCCTTCTGGGTTCCAGAGGCATGAAATAGGTGCAGAGTTGGTGTTTTGCACTGGAACTTTTTTTTTTTTTTTTTGCTTTTTGGGTCACACCCGGCGATGCTCAGGGGTTACTCCTGGCTCATGCACTCAGGAATTGCTCCTGGCGGTGCTCGGGGGACCATATGGGATGCTGGGAATCGAACCCGGGTCGGCCGCGTGCAAGGCAAACGCCCTCCCCGCTGTGCTATTGCTCCAGCCTCCCGTTGGTTTACTCTTATGGAGGTACCTGCAAGAGATGAGGCTTGCGGGCCTCTCCCTGTCAGACGCAGGTCTGAGGCCGCTCTCTCGCGTGGCCCACGCCCACCCCTGTTCAGACAGACCCTCTCAGGCCTGGCTCTGCTCTGGTGTGGGCCCTGCTTCTGAGTTGGCCACTGTCAGCGCCGTGGCCAGTGTCCACCCTCCTGTTCGTAGGACGTGAGCGTGCGCTTACAGGGTTGCTGATTTCCTTTGTCCCGGCTTCCCTGAGTGACGGAACAATCCGACCTCGACCGCATTTCCCTTTGCTGATGGTGGGGATCAGGTGGTGGTGGGGGGGGTCTTGCCCACAGTCCCCGAGTGTCCCTGGAACCTGGAGGCTGAGTTCCCTGCTCCACTGTTAGGCGGAAGTGTGGCGAGTAGGCAGATCTGGGCTGGCCTCCCGCACGCGGGCTCAGGTGAAAGATTCTCTCGGAACCTGCAGCTTCCTATCTCATACCTGGGCTAGACTCGGGAGACTGGAAAGGGGACAGGTTGGGCTTGGCCCCTCGAGCCTCAGTGTGGGCACTGGTTTAGGACGGGGGAGTTGGGGGGGAATGGCCGGTCCTTGGACAGCATCACGGTAAGATGAGGCAGCTGGGGGGTGCCATCTGGGGGAGGGAGGTTCGGACCAGGTGGTGGGTCTCAGGGCTGGTGTTTATTTGTTGTTGTTTTTTTTTTTTGTCTTTTTCCATTTTTTGGTCTAATGTGCAGAAGACTAGACTGTGGAAGACTTTGCAGAGAAGGAGACTTGTGTGGAGAGTGTGGTTGGGGGAAGCAGAACATTAGTCAGTACATGCAGTTTCCCAGGGACTGGGTCACCTGCAGGAGGGGTCAGAGCACACCTACGTGACACAGGCTCGGGGACCCAGCCCATCCCCACACCACTGGCCGAGGCTGCCGTCCACTGTCTGCTCCCAGCTGAGCTGTCCACTCACAGCCATGCTGTCTGCTGGCTACTGTCCACTATCAGCTATGCTTTCCACTGTCCACTCTTGGCTGCACTGTCTCCTGGCCACCGTCGGCCCCACTGTCCACTCTCGGCCGTCCATCTCAGGCAGCTTTGCCGTTGGCCCCCACGCACCCTCTGCCTGGTGCCGAGCGTGGGCCGAGCTCCCAGCCCCCCAGTCTGTGCCACCTGACCCAACACGCGTGGGCATGGTCTGTCCCGCCGTCTGCCCCCTGACCTCCCGTGGGCGCGTGGCCCATGACTCGCAAGCCCTGCCTCACGGGCGACTGCTCTCGTGGGTGTGGGCCGCTGCCTGTCCCTCCTCTGAGGTCGCCTGTGGGCTTTCCCTTGTGCTTTCATGCCAGCCTTTGAAAGGTCACAGTGGCCCCGTCTGCCCTGGACGCAGCGCTGTGCTGCCCTTACCGGGTTGGCCCTGGACCTTCCTGGCTTGGAGCCCGGGCGATCGAGCCACTTGCGTGAAGCGCCCTCTTCAGGAAGGGCTGGGGAACTGCAAGGGAGGCAGGTTCTTTTCTCTCCCACTCCACCCCCCAATTATTTTTTTTCTTGGACCAGCAACCTTGACTCTTACACGCTGGAAAAAGCAATAAGGCCGGTAGCTCATGTGTTCGTGTGTGCGCCTTGCATATGAGGCTCCGGGTTCTGTCTCACGCACTGCAAAAACTTTTTTTTTTTTTTTGCTTTTTGGGTCACACCCGGCGATGCTCAGGGGTTACTCCTGGCTCATGCACTCAGGATTCACTCCTGGTGGTGCTCGGGGGACCATAAGGGATGCTGGGAATCGAACCTGTGTCGGCCATGTTGGCTGCGTGCAAGGCAAACGCCCTACCCGCTGTGCCATCGCTCCAGCCCAGCAAAAACTTTTTAAAAGATAGTAGTTGGGCACATGTGCTGCCTGTGCCCATGCAGTGCCTGAGCACGTGTCGTCGTCACATCTCCCCTCCTGAGGGGTGGACTCTCGTATTTTTATATCTAATGCTGGATGTGTACAGGAGCTCCCTCTCCACTCTGGAGAAGCCATGTTCTTGTCTCTGTCTCTCTGTCTCTCTCTCTCTCTCCCCTTCCTTCCTCCCTTCCTTCTTCCCTCCCTCTCTTCTCTCTCCTCTCTCTCTCCTTCCAAATAAAACCTTTTTACTTCAAAATAAACAAAAAATTGAAAAAAATCAAAAATAGTAGCAGTGGGGCCAGAGCCATAGCACCGCGGGTGAGGCACCTGCCCTGCATGCAGCTGACACAGTTCAACCCCTGGCACCCCACGTGGTTCCCCTGAGCCCACCTAGAGCGGTCACTGCGTGCAGAGTCAGGAGTCAGTCCTGAGCACCGCCAGGTGTGACCCAAACCACCTCCTCCCCAGCGAACCAATAAAAGTTGGATTTAGGGGCCAGAGAGGCAGTACAAGGGGGTGAAGTTCTTGCCTTGCCCACGCCATCCCTGGGTCCGCCCCTGGGGAAGACAGGCTGGGCCAGAGAGCAGCACAGCAGGTGTGGCCCTGCCTTTTATACAGTTCAAGGTCCTGGGTCGCTGCAGGCACCCTGAGCCCTGCCGGGAGTGACCCCTGAGCACAGAGCTGGGAGTTACCCTGAGCACTGCTGGGTGTAGCCCAGAAAACAGACAAGAAGAAAGACTTACAAGTCCTCGGGGCTGGAGCGGTAGCACAGTGGGTAGGGCATTTGCCTTGCACACAGCCGACCCAGACTCAATCCTCCGCATCCCATATGGTCCCCCAGCACCACCAGAAGTGATCCCTGAGCATCACTGGATGAGACCCAAAAAGCAAAAAAAAAAAAAAGACGACTTACAAGTCCTCGATGACACTCAGCAGCACTTGAAGCATTAGGTTGAGAGTTCGAACCCCGGTACCAAGCACATGCCCTAGGCTGATGGGCTCTCCCCAGCTATGTGGTTCCAGAGTGGCAGGGCAGGCCCAGGGCTGGGAGTGGGGGGCCAGGGGCAGGCTTACCTACCCTGTCTGAAGTTCTCGGAAGAGTAACTCGTTTACTTAAACTGGAAGAGTTCTGCCGTTCACAGAGCAGCTGCTTCCCGAGTGAGAGCCACAAGCGCCCGCCTTCTCGTCCAGTCAGCTTTTCTTTCCGGCAGTGCCGGGGCTCAAACCCAGGTTGCCTGAGTGCGAGGCGCATTCTCTGCCTGCCTGGATCAGCGCCTCCAGCCAGTGATTGTGTTCCTCTGTCCCTTCCGTCGGATCTGCCAGGGTGACACTCACCCAGCTTTCTCCCCGCACAGAGGCCTGGCGTGGCCCGGTGCAGGCTGGCCTCTTCGAGCCTGTGCAGAAAAGTTAGGGTGTGCTCATCGGAAAGCCTGATCAGGGGCCGGGGTAATAGTACAGCGGGGAGGGCGTTTGCCTTGCACGCGACCGACCTGGGTTCGATCCCCGGCATCCCATAGGGTCCCCCCAGCACTGCCAGGAGTGACCCCTGTGCGTTGCTGAGTGTGACCCAAAAAGCAAAAGAAAATCTGATCAGCAGTGGGCTGTGGGGGAGTGGGGGGAGGGAGCCAGGGTGCCGGGCTCGGTCCCTGCCCGGAAGTGGAAAGCGCGAGGCTGGACGAGCTGAGTGGGAGCAGCTTGGGGTGGGTTCCCTGGTCTCTGGGGTCAGGTCGGCCGGTGGCCTTCTTTGCTGGGGGTTGTGGAAGAGTGTGCAGGAGGGCAGGCCGCGGGCTGCTTCGCTGACCCTCCCTGCCCTCGCTCCCCGCAGGTGATGACCCACCTCCACGTGATCGAGGAGCGGAGGAACCAGAGCCTGTCGCTGCTCTACAAGGTCCCTTCCGTCGCCCAGGAGATCCAGGAGGAGATAGGTGGGTGCGGCCCCTTGGCTCAGGGGGACACAGCCGGGCTCGAGGGGGCTGGGCCAGGCCGTGCTGGGGTGTCACACGCGCTCCAGAGTCTGGAGGCCGCAAGGGCTGACGTGGTCTGTCATCATGGCCCCGAGGACAGATGGGCTGGCAGGAGCCCCGGGCCTCCTGTTTCATCCATCTCTCGTTACCGGAAGGAAAATCAGGGGTGTGAAATTGCAGAGGACCCAGGAGTTTCCTGTGGCCCTGCCTGTCCGAAACCGCTGACACGTTCAAGGTAGCGTGTGTGCATACTCCTACACACACACACACACACACACACACACTCCCTTCCTGTACATACATGCTTCCTCCCTACACACACACACACACACACTTCCTCCCTGTACATACATGTGCTCTTCCTACACACACACGCCCCTTGCCTCCCCAACATCCCACCCTGACACACACACACACACACACACACACACACACACACACACACACACAGGCACACCCTGCCCCTCCCTTGCCCTGAGTCTGACCTTCTTGTGTCCACCAGCACGTACTGGCTTTAGGGGGGCAGACAGAGGTATTGGGGCAGGACGGGGCGGTCCCTCCCCAGCCCTGTGCAGGGCGCAGTGGCAGTGTGTGAGCAAGAAGGAAGATGCCAGAAGGCCAAGCCTGTGGGCCTGCTGGAAAGGACCTGCCTGGGGAGCTGAGAGGGGGGAAGGGCGCCGGGAGACCCTTGGGACAATCTGGAATGTAGGTCGATTCTAGGGTCAGGGGAGGCGGTTTGAAGGCTGTGACTGAGGGACTGAAAACATTTACGCAGGGCCAGAAAGGTCGGGCAGGGTTTAGGGACTTGCCTTGCGCGCAGCTGGCCCGGGTTCAAATCCCCAGCACCCCATATGGTCCCTGAGCACAGAGCCAGGAATAAGTCCTGAGCGCCTCCAGGGGTGGCTCCACGCACGCATTCCCACAAAAAATACAAAGAAAAATTCGACCGTGAATTTCAGGCTCTCGGAAGACCACTAAAAGGGCTGGAGCACAGGCTTCATATGCTGGAGCTCCGAGTTCCATCCCTGGCACTGCATGGTCCCCTGAGCACTGTGTCTGGAGTTAAGGATAGCTCCCCCCGTGCCCAGTACACAAGATCCAAAACTCCAGCATGAACTTAGAAAGATCTGTGCTCTGGGGGACTTGCGCCGTAGCACAGCGGGAAGGGAGCTTGCCCTGCACACAACTGACCCACATCTGATCCCCGGCATCCCTTGTGGTCCCCTGAGCACCGCAAGGAGTAATCCCGGAGTGCAGAGCCAGGAGTCAGCCCCGAGCACTGCCGGGTGTGGCCCCAAACCAAACAGGACCTGTGCTTGGCTGCTCTGGCCGGTCCACAATGGAGACTCCCCCGGGACGTGGCTGTGAAGATTGGCGAGTCCAGGGGGCAGATGCCAGAAGGGTTCTGAGGAAGAAGGGTGGGAGGCAACCAGGCTGCGGCCACGCTCCACAGCACGGAGGGGCCTTGAGGACGGCGGTGGCCTGGGAGCTGCCCCGGGGGACGCCTGAGGCGGGAAGGCCACTGCCTGCAGGCTCAGAGCCAGCAGGCCTCCCGCACCGCCTCAGAGTGGCAGGGCTTCCAGCACCTTCCAACGAGCTGCCCCTGGCCCCCCGCGTCCCTCCCAGATGCCCTGCTGCAGGAGCAGCGTGCGGACGTGGACCAGTTCACGGCCTCCATCTCCGAGACCCCCGTGGACGTGCGGGTGAGCTCCGAGGAGAGCGAGGAGCTGGCCGCCTTCCAGCCCTTCCATCCCTTCCCGTCCCTGCCTGAGAGCGAAGGTGCGTATGGCCTGGGGGGCCGCGGGCTGGGGGCTGGGGGGAGGCTTGTGCCTCGAGCACCCCCGAGGGGCAGCCCCGGGTCTGGGGCTCTGGAGGTGGGGGGACCAGGGCGGTTCTGCTCAAGGCCACGTACGTGTCCCCGCGGGGTGCCGGGGCGCCAGGGAGGGGCAGGGAGGCTGTCCCCTGCGTCCCTGGCATCCTGCCGGCCCACCCGGAGTCAACAAGCTGGGGAGCCCAGGGTGTGGAACCCGATTCTGTTTACACGCCACTGTCCCAGTGATGATAAAAATAGGCCCCCGCAGGGAGGCCCGGCCTGCGCTGGCCTCAGCCCCTGGCCCCGAGCGCCGGGCGCTCCCTCAGCCCAGACAGCCCTGCTCGGAGGGCCTGGGCGTCCCCCTGGGGAGTGCGGGAGCATCTGCGTCTAATGAGGACTCGAGGTGGAACCGGGTCCGAGCCCATGCTAAGAGGGTCCCACTCCCTCCCACCCCTGCAGAGGGTGCAGGAAGGGCTGAAGGGGATGCTGGGTGGGGGGTAGGGTGACTGGTGGGGGGGTGGGGGGCTCAGGCCAGCCCATTCTGCAGGTCTTGCGCCGGACCCCTGGTCGGAAAGCAAGCCTTGTCCGCTGCCCCTTGGCTGCTCTCCCAGAACGGGAGCGGGCGGACGGGGGTTTCCTCCTTGCTTCTCTCCCGCTGGGGCTCGCGAGGCCGGGCTGTGTGGCTTCCAGGACAGGTCCCCGGCAGGACCTGTGGCCGCACCCGTGGCGAGACGGCCGCTTCCTTAATCTCCTTTCGTGCTGTTCTGTTTTCCTCTCTCCCAGACCCTCAGCCGGAGTCGTACCACCCCATGAAGAAAGGTCGGTGTGTCCAACACGCCCCTCGGCCTCCCCCCACACCCCCACGTGCCACAAGCATCATTTTCTGTTCCATCCCATCCTGTGACCGTCGCCGCCTCATTTCCTAGGGCGCCAGGGCAGTGGGACCGGGGACAAGGCGCCGGGCTAGAGCGCAGATCCCACTGGCGTGGGGGTGTGGGGGGGGGGGCTGCAGATGCTGAATAAATGTCTCGGAGCAGCTCCAAGGCCCGGGTGGGCTGGAGTCCCCAGTCCATCCCAGGTCCCCGTGGCTCCCCAGCACCAGGCTGGGAGCACCCCCACACCCCTAAAAAAGAAGTGAAAAGTCAAAAGAATAAGCCTCATGTACAGTCAGCAGATGGTCATTAGTTACTTTTTCTTTCTTTTTTTCTTTTTTTTCAATTTTCATAAGGTTTTTCACATTAATCGATGACATTCAGTATTTCAACACCAATCCCACTGCCATTATTTCGAATTTTCCCACAACATTCAAGCCTGCCTGCCAAGGGCAGGTGCGAGATAATTTAGTTTCTCTTGCTTATTGTGATCCCTCCGCCCCTCTCGGAGACCCCGGCAAGCTACCAAGAGTATCCCACCCGCACGGCAGAGCCTGGCAAGCTCCCAGTGGAGTATTGGTTATGCCAAAAACAGTAACAACAAGTCTCACAGTGGAGACGTTACTGGTGCCCGCTCAAGCAAATCGATGGACAAGGGGAGGACAGTGCTACAGTGCTTATTATGAACATCATCAAAGACCGCAGAAGTGGCCGCACACTTCTGGATTCTAAAATTGTGAACGGTTGGGTCCAGAGACGTCTCTGTAGGGAACTGATGCATTTTGAGATTCACTTGGAAGTCTCTGGATCAAGGCATTTAGTGCGCTGAGATGGCGCCAGAGGCAGTTTGTGGGTCTGACGGCCAGGACCCCGGGCAGGAAGACGGGAAGGGATGGGTGACCCATCTCCGCTGCTGCCCTGTGGCCTGGAGTCTTAGTCCCTGAACCCGTGTACCTGGGTTTTGCTTCTGGAAGCGTGTGGCCACCCGGAGTTCATCTGGAGCGGGCTGAGAGGGAACACCCACTCCATCTGAGGTGCCCCGGTGGACTTGGCTCGGTACGGGGTCCAGAGAGATCTCCTGCGAGCTGCTTGTCTTCCGGGATTCACTGCTGAGCCTCGGGTTCAAGGCCGTTAATGCGCGCTTTTTTTTTTCTTTTTCTCCCTGTGGTGCCGGGGAGTGGACCCAGGGCCTGCCTCCTTCAAGGCCCCATCCTGACCCTGACTCTTTCCCCTCGTCCCTGTTCTCTGCAGCTGCCCCTGCGGCCTTTGGCCAGCCCATGGCCTTGGGCTCAGTGTCTGTCCTGGGGGGGGTCCCCAAGGCTGCATTTGAAGCTGGCGGATGGACTAGGTCAGGCTTCCCCTGGGCGAGTGTCCAGGGGCTGGGACTCCTGCGTGCTTTGTACACCACACTTCTAGGACCGGGCCACTACCCCCCGCCCCCCCTTGCCCTTGGTTTTGCTGTGTGTGTTGCGTGAGACACCAGTGTTGGTGGCTTGGTCTCTAGGACGTTCCCTGCCCTCTGGGTGTCCCTGGAACGAGCACTCTGGGCCCCGTGGGGTCTCTGGCTCAGACTCAGGGCCATCAAAGAGCCCCTCAGCCTCCCCTGCCCCCGGTACCGCAGAATCCTCTCCTCCTGGTCCCTGGCTGACGCTGCTCCAGCCCAGATGTTGGTGGAGAAATGAGAAAGGAGTTTCCCGCAGGGCTAAGGCGCTCCTGCCCTCCTGCTTTCACCGTCTTTGTAAATCATTTAAGTGACGACTTTTGGTCCCCCAAAGTCGCTGGTTGGCTCCATCTCGAAGAACCCAAGTGACCAGTGACTGGGGAATGTGGGAGTTTGACCCCCCGATGTTGGAACCGTCTGGGCTACTGGGACTTGAGGCCATCCAGCGCCTCGTTGTTCTTCAGGGCAGGCCTTGTCCCTCCGCGCGGGGCTGGGGTGTCGCGTCTTCTCACCCTCTCCCCTCTCATGGGGGGCTCCTAGGCTGCTTGTCGGCAGTGTGCGCCCCTGAGCCCCCTGCCCCAGACCCGAGTCGGGGGCGTTGGTGCAGAACGGTGCTTTCCTGGTTTCCACTGGGGGGCACGGCCATCTGGTCTGGGGATCGGACCCCGCGCCCTGGAGCCGTCTCCCCGGCCAGGCCTGATCTGTCTCTCCCGAAGGGCCCGTTGGAAGGCAGGGAGCCACGTGGGGGTCTGGGCACACAGAGGCTCCCTGCTATGGCCAGGGAGGCTCTTCTCCCCCGGAACCTGCCTGCCTTTTGTTTGACTTTTGGTTTTGGGGCCACACCCAGCAGTGCTCAGGGCTGACTCCTGGCTTTGTGCTCAGGGGTCACTCCTGGCAGTGCTTGGAATGAAAATGCACTTGGCTGTGGGCAAAACCCCGGAACCCCGGTCCTGTCTCTCGGCCCCCTGGAGTTGGCTCTGCCGCGCCGTTGGGAGATGAGCCGGGACGGGGTGCTACAGCCCCTGTTGCTGGGGGTCCGAGAGAAGCAGCATCCAGGGTCTGAGGGGCCATACCCGGTGGGCACGGGGTCTCCAGCCACCTCCAGGCCTTGCTGCCCTGGCCCCCACCCTGGTCTGCGTGACCACGTGCTCTGGGCCCGTGTCCATGATCCACGGCCACCTCCATCCTGCCATCTGTCTCTGACAAACGTCTTCACCCGGGGGTGGGGGGCTCACGGTGCCCACCGCACAGCGGGGCCTCAGCCCTGCCCTCTCCACACAGGCTCCGGTGCCGGCGAGCCAGCCGGGGGGCTGATCGGGGCCGAGGAGAAAGTGATCAACAGTAAGAATAAAGTGGACGAGGACATGGTAAGCACTTACGGTGGGGGCGGGGGCAGGGGTCATGTCACCACCCCTCCTGTGTGTCCTCCATCCCCTGGGGCTTGCTCCCCGCCCCGGGTCCCTCACTCTGGCCTGTGCTTCCAGGTCATCGATGAGACCCTGGACGTGAAGGAGATGATCTTCAATGCCGAGCGCGTGGGTGGCCTGGTGGAGGAGCCGGTGCGTGGGCCCGAGTCGGGCGCTCCCTGCCACCCCCCCCACCCCCAGCCCACACGGGGATGCCCCAGAAAACCAGGATCCCGTGGACCGGGGCGGAGATGCGGGTCCCTTGTCTCGTGGGTGTCCCTAGCAGCCCCGTTCACCGGGCCCTGTGTCCCCCAGGAGGCGGCGGGGCCCCTGCGTGAGGACTTCAGCCTGAGCAGCAGTGCCCTCATCGGCCTGCTGGTCATCGCCGTGGCCATCGCCACGGTCATCGTCATCAGCCTGGTGATGCTGAGGAAGCGGCAGTACGGCACCATCAGCCACGGCATCGTGGAGGTAGGCAGCCCCTCGCGGCCCCCGAGGCTGCTGAGCCCAGATGGGTGGCCACGCCGAGCCGTGCTGGGGCTCCTCCAGGCACGGTGCTCCCTGGAGGTGCCTGGGGTCGGGGGCACGGGGGCAGGAGCCCCGGGACTCATTTCCTTCAGGATTGGGACTTTGGGTCCCTCTGGTCGCATGGAAATAATGTCACCGTCGCGGAAAAGGCGCTGCTCTGCGGTTCAGCCTTCTTTTTCCTTTCTTTCTGTGTTTGTGGGCCACGTCTGGCCGTGCTCAGGGGTTAGACCTGGTGGTTTTCGTGGCGCCTTATGGGCTGCAGGGGATCGAACCTGGGTCCGCTGCATGCAAGGCAAATGCCCTCCCCGCTGGACTGTCCCTCCGGCCCCTCGCTCTACTCCTTGCCCTGGGAGGACTGGCGGTGGGCTTCCAGAACCTTCTCCAAGCGCCGCCTGGGCCCACCGAGCCTCGGACAGACAGTTCCCGGTCTGGGGTGTGGGCTCAGCCCCGAGAACCTGGACTGGGCCGGCCCGGGGGCAGGTGGCCGCAGCCTTCTGGGTGGCCCTGCTCACCTCGCTCCCCACCCTCCAGGTGGACCCCATGCTCACCCCCGAAGAACGTCACCTGAACAAGATGCAGAACCACGGCTACGAGAACCCCACGTACAAGTACCTGGAGCAGATGCAGATCTGAGGGCCCCCCCGCCTCTCGCCCTCTCGAGCCCCCAGACCACCGAGACGGGGCACACCCACGGGTGCCACTTCCTTGCTCCCAGGCGGGCGGCCCGCGGCCAGCGCCCCTGCGTCCGGGACGGGCTGGACACCGGAGCGCGTGGCTGTAGTTCCCTTTTTTTAAATTAAGCAGATGTCCCTCTTCTCGGTCCTCACTCGCCCTCTGCAGCCCTGCTCCAGCCGCGGGCGTGGAAGCGAAGCCCCAGGCCCGTCCACCGTCCGTCCGGCTTTTATTGGGGAGGGGGAGAGGGGGGCTGGGCGCGGCAGGGGGGCCACCCCCTTCCGTGAGCTTCCAGAGAAGTGACCGCCGGAAGCGCTCCCAGAGCACCTGAGCCCCGTCCCTAGAGCCCGCCTTGGGGCGTCCGGACCCCCTACTGCTCTGCCCCCCCAGCTTTCCCCGGCACGTGCTCCCCTCGGACATGGGCTTGGCCTCCCCGCTGCCCACCTCCCGGCGCCCCTGCAGGAGGGACGGGAGCGACCTGGGAGGACCCCGCCATCCACGCCCGCCCCGGCCCTCCGTGATGCTTGTCTGGTGTGTGGATACGCTCACAGCTCTTCTCTTTTTTTTATCCAGAAGGTTCTGGTAACCTGTGGTATTTCTTTCGATTTTTGTTCCTTTGGTTTTGTCTGTCTTTTCCTTTTTTCTTTTTTCTGTTTCCCCGTGGCTGTCATCCTTAGTTCTCTCCCTCCTCCCCTTATCCATGTCTCTTCCCACTATGCACAGATAAACTTCACCTACCAACTCCTTAATCTGATCTGTGGAGAATGTACAGAGTTTAAACACATCAATAAATAACTTCCACCAAGACTCGCTGTTTCCTTGACCTCTGGCGGTCAGCGAGGAGGTGCCTGTGCCAACCTTGGGAGAGTGGACACAGGACCTTTGACCAGACAGAATCGCGTTTCCCTAAGAAAACTCCCATCTCCCAGGCCACAGAGTACAGGGCGGAGGGCACTGGCCGAGCAGGCGCCCACCTGCGTTCCAGCCCCGACATCACATATGGTCCCTCCAGCCCTGCCAGGAGTGCTCCCTGAGCACACCCGGGTGTGGCCCAAAAGCCAAAAGAAAAGAAATCTGCACGTGCAGAGGGAAGCCTTTCTGTGGGCTCCAGGCCGCGGTCTCCACGTTCCTGAGCTGGCTCCAGTCTGAGGTTGTTTGGTCTGACCTTTGCCCTGCCTCCCTGCTTGGTTCCTGGAGTTTTCTATTGTGTCTGCATTATCTTCTGCAATCTGAGTGAATGTTTGACCTTTATCTCCCTCTCCAGACTCAGATTTGGTGGGGGTGGGGTGTGGGCCACATCCAGTGGAGCTTCAGGGCTTGTCCACATGGGGTGGGCCACGTGGAGGTGAGCCCTCAGCCCCTTGCACCATCTCTGGCTCCCAGATGGGGGTGGGGGTGTTCAGGATAGCCTCGGCCCCTGCCTGAACCTGGGGATTGAGCTCAGGACCCCTAGGCGCTTCCTGAGCCGTGACTGGGCTACCTTCTGGACTTCCTGGCTGGGGCCCCTAACCGGATGGGCTGGGGCTGTCAGATGCACAGCAGGTGAGGGGTTTGAACTCAGGGCCTTGGCTTTAAGCCTCCGGGGCCAGAGCAATAGTACAGTGGGGCGGGCGCTTGCCTTACACACGGCTGACCCGGGCTCGATCCCATGGCCAGGAGTGATTCCTGAGTGCAGAGCCAGAAGTAAGAGCATTCGGGGGCGTGGGGGGGGGGGAGGGAAGGGGGCTGGAGCCATAGCACAGTGGGTAGGGCATTTGCCTTGCATGCAGCCAACCCGGGTTTAATTCCCAGCATCCCATATGGTCCCCCGAGCACCGCCAGGAGTAATTCCTGAGTGCAAAGCCAGGAGTAATTAATCCCTGTGCATTGCCGGGTGCGACCCAAAAAACAAAATAAATAAAAACTCTATAAATTATGTTTCCCTTTTTTTGTTTGTTTTGGGGCCACACCCAACAATGCTCAGGGGATGATCCTGGCTCTACACTCAGCACCTGGCAGTGCCGGGGGCGTGGGGTGGGGGACCAGTTGGGATACTGGGGATCACACCTGGGTTTGTGCAAGGCAACCTCCTTACCTGCTGTCCTATAGACCCGGCCCCATAAATGACCTGATTCCTTTGAGCTGATTTCCTGTATCTCTAGCAAGCATTTGATCGAAGTACCAAATCAGCGGCCAAAGTAAGTGGGCAAGTCAGTCAAGAGTTTTGTTGGAGGGACCAGAGTGGTAGTCCAGCAGGTAGGGCGTTTGCCTTGCATGCAGCTGACCCAGATTTGACCGCCCCCCCCAGCATCCCATATGGTCCCCAAAGCACCACCAGGAGTGATTCCTGAGTGCGCAGCCAGGACTAGCTCCTAAGCATCGCCAGGTGTGACCCAAAAAAGCCAAAAAGAAATAAAGTTTTGTTGGAGCAAACTGTAATTTAGGCTGGACACTTCTCCGTGGTGCTTGCTGGAGACGAGAGTGGGGCTGAATTTTCGGAGATCTGTTTGCAGTTCTCATTGCAGTCTCATTTCTGAGACTCTTGAATAATTCGAGGTTTTTTTTTGTTTTTTTTGCTTTTTGCGTCACACCTGCCTGGCAATGCTCAGGAATTACTCCTGGCAGTGCTTATATGGGATGCCAAGGATAGAAACCGGGTCGGCCGCGTGCAAGGTCAACGCCCTACCCGCTGTACACTATCGCTCTGGCCCCAGCGCGAGATTCTTCAGCAGCTTCTTCAGTCACTCACCAGAGCGAGCACAGCGGACCAAGTGCAGACTTCTGCCAGAGGTCCGGGTCCAGAGGTCCTGGCATTGCATGTTGTGGCATGACCTCTGACCAGTGGGGCCCGCAGACAAATAGACCTGAGGCTCTCCGTGCGGCCACTCGGGTTCAATCCCTACAGGGGCCCAGTCAGGAGCAAGCCCCGAGCACATCTGGGTGTGGCCCCGCAGCACAGCCGAACCAAACAAAACCTGCCACTAGGCGGCGCTTTCTTGCAGTGGTTTCTTTCCTGCCGGTTCCAGCTGCTCCAGACTGGGGGCATGACCATGGGGCACTGGGCAGCCGTTCTGCCTCGAGCTGGAGGGGTGAATTCAGGGCTCCGTTAGTCCTAGCACAGTGTGGGGGTGCGGATGCTCTCTGGTGCCAGAGAGGTCCTAGTGCGTGCACGCACACAGGGCATTGAGCTGGAGGGCTCGCTCCCGGCTCTGTGCTCAGGAGACCATAGGGGTGCCGGGAATCAACCCCCAGTCAACTGTGTGCAGAGCAAGCGCCTTTCCTGACGTTCTATCTCTCTGAACCCATGTTACTATTATTTTGACTTTAGGTACTCAGGGCTTCCTCCTGGCTCTGCACTCAGAAATCACTCCTGGCAGGCTTGGGGGGACCATACGGGATGCCGGGGATTGAACCTGGGCCGGTCAGCGGCTTGCAAGACTCACGCCCTCCCCACTGTGCTATCACTCCGCCAACCCCACCCCGCCCCGACACACACACTTGAATTTATAAAGCCAGTGTCCAGGGTGTGGGCTGGTGCTGTTCTGTGGCCCTCCAAGGTAGCCCGGAAGGTGTGTATCCTGTGTGTTCTTGCTGACTGCATCTTTCCATGCTGCCGCCCCCTCCCCCACCCACCCATCAGCTCATCTCCACACAGTGTCTCATCTCTCTAACCAGCATGGTGACCGTGACCCAGGGGACCAGACTCCGGGGTCCAAATCCAGTCTCTCATTCCCAGTATGTCTTGCCTGATGGTGGCGCCCAAGGGTCACCCCAGATCCTGGTGCCTGGCGTCCAGGACCCATCCAGCTGATGGACCTTTGGAACTTCCTGTATCCCCCTGGCATTGCTGTGGCTTCATTTACTACATTCCTCAGGCCTGAGGGCCGAGGTCCAGAGACAACCAGGGCTGGATTTGAATGTCCTGGCCGCTCGGCTCCCTGTCCCTGCATTGAGCTCAGTGCTGATCACACCTCTAGAGAGATTCCCAACTTTTTTTTTAATAGTATTTTAGGAATCATGGTTTACAATACTGATCAAGATAGCTCATCCTGGGGACGTTTTAATATACACAAGTTAATCAGTGTAATACACCATATCAAAACAAGGAAAAATAAAAAGCAGTAGGTGCAGACAAGATTCCATAGCCATTCTTTTTTTTTTTTTTTTTTCTTTTTGTGTCACACCTGGCAATGCACAGGGGTTACTCCTGGCTCTGCACTCAGGAATTACTCCTGGCGGTGCTCAGGGACCATATGGGATGCTGGGAATCGAACCCTGGTCGGCGGCGTACAAGGCAAACACCCTACCCGCTGTGGTATCACTCCAGCCCCTCCATAGTCATTCCTGATAAAAAACCTCAATTAAAAGCTGAAGTCGTGGCACAGCGGGGAAGGCACTTGCCTTGCACGTGGCCGACCCAGGTTCCATCCCCAGCATCCCATATGGTTCCCTGAGAAGCACCAGGAGTAATTCCTGAGTGCAGAGCCAGGAATAACCTCTGAGCATTGCCAGGTATGGCCCAGAAACCAAAACTAGCACTGTAGCACTCTCCTCCCATTCATCAATTTGCTCGAGCGGGCACCAGTAACATCTCCATTGTGAGACTTGTTGTTACTGGTTTTTTTTTTTTCTGCATATCGAATACGCCACAGGGAGCTTGCCAGGCTCTGCCGTGTGGGCGGGATACTCTTGGTAGCTTGCCAGGCTCTCCGAGAGGGACGGAGGAGTTGAACCCGGGGTCGGCTGCGTGGAAGGCAAAAGCCCTACCCGCTGTGCTATCGCTCCAGCCCAAACCAAAAATAAATTAAAACCCTCTCAGATGGAAGATGGAAGTTGAAGGAACTTTGCCCAGCAGACGCAAAGCCGTTTACCACAAGCCCACTTTGCCTTTGAAAGGATGGGCACGGGCACGCACGCAGGGAAATGCAGGGACAGTGGCTGCCCAGCCCAGCCCAGCTCCACTCTGCCCCCTGGTGGCACCAGGCCCGTTGTCCCTTGGAGGTAAGTGAAACTTAATTCCAGGTTCCTGCCACCGTGACTCAGCGTTGCCCTCTAAGGAATGCAGCCCTGCCCAGGTGAGAGCCAGGTGCCAAGGCCTCCAGCTGCCTCTCGGAGCCTCCCACTCCCCCGTCGTCATCGTCGTCGTCAGCTCTCGGTCATACATGTCCCCTCGGCGGCGCCCCTCCCCGCCCATCCCTGTCCCATAACCAGGCGGAGCCCTCCAGGTGCCCGGTCATCTCTGGTTTCAGCAGCTTAGAGACACCCGTAGACTTTGGAGGCACAAATTTAAATGTGACAAAAGTGATGCCCAGGAAGCAGATGGCAAAAGGGAACTGCGGGGCTGGCCGTCCGGGCCCTCCTGGTGCCAGCTGCAGCCCGCCCTCAGGTCACGTGCTATCCAGAGCCAGGCCTGTGGTGGGGGTGACACTGTGGGTGCTCACACAAGAGGAAGTGGACTGCTGCCTCGATTCTTCCTGAGGCATCGGCCGCAATGGGGGTGGGGGGCAGAGGGTGGGGGGCCCCCCGTCTTCCAGGAGGAACCGAGGCCACAGCCTTGGGCTAGCCCTGGTGTCTGAAGCCAGGAGAGACCATCAGTCAGGAAGCAAGGCTGTGTCAGCCTTTTGTTTTTGGTTTCTGGGGGGGCCACATCTGGTGACCCCCCCTACCGGCCGTACTCTCACTCCGGACCCACACTTCTGTGTTCACACACTTTCCCTGTTCTCCTTCCCATCTGTAACCCCATCTCTGCGGAATTTATCTGTAATTCCCATTTCTGCAGAAAGCAACTTCCTGCTGTGTTGGGGTGGGGGGGACCCTAGCAGGACTCT